TAAAGTTTTTGTTTTATAATTCAGGAATCACCGGATATACTTTAAAGTAAATGGGTAAATACAGTTCTGTACGGAAGTGCGGACTGCAAAAACAGTTTTCCAGAAACTCAGTCAGTCAGGCAGACATTCTCCATGTTCTCACCTTCCAAGATGGCACTCACAACCTCGTGTCCTCTCTCCTCCAAATCTCCTCTCTTCCACCACCATCGCCGCCCTTCTCTCCTCCCCACCACTCGCAAACCCATTATCACAGCCGTCCATTCAGCTGATCCGGCCAAGTCCAACCCATCAACAGCATCCGCTGCCGCCCCTTCAATCTCCACAAAATGGGCTACTGACAGCTGGAAAACAAAGAAGGCTGTGCAACTCCCGGAATACCCAGATGAAAACGATCTCCAATCGGTCCTCCAGACGCTCTCGACGTTTCCTCCAATTGTCTTCGCCGGGGAGGCGAGGAGCCTTGAAGAGAAGCTGGGACAGGCTGCCGTTGGCAATGCTTTCTTGCTCCAAGGGGGTGACTGTGCCGAGAGCTTCAAGGAGTTCAATGCAAATAACATTCGTGACACTTTCAGAGTCCTTCTCCAGATGGGTGTCGTGCTCATGTTCGGCGGACAAATGCCTGTCATCAAGGTATTGTTTTTTAGTCTTCAATGCAGTTCCCGCAAATTGGATCTGCATCAAGTGAAATTAGAACTGTTTGATTTTCTGTTTGGGTATTTAGGCTGTTGAGAGATGAGAGATTCTGTTGGTTCTGGGTTTTCAGTTTGGTTGTTTGGTTTTATTTCCTCTCAACCCTTTTTATCTGCCTATGAATGTACTTGATAATTTGAGTTCCTGTACTTTGAAATTCTAGGTCCAGTTGTGTTTAATGTAGGATAAGTTGGTGAGTGGGTGAATGCAGTGGTTAGAATTGAATTTCATGATAGGATTTTTGCATCCAATCTTCTAGGTTGAGGCACTCTGAGATGAATGGTTGCCCTTTTTCTTCATTGGTCTAATAGTTCTCTTTTTGCTTTCTTTTTTCTTTTCTAAATTGTCTGTATTGATTGAATTTATCTTGATTGTTAATTCGTATTCAATATGATTGGATGAAAAATTATTGTTAATTTACAGAGCCAAGTTTTGAGTTAAAGACGATTGGTCTTTCTACTTGACTGTTTAATATGTTATCTAGAATGGCACTAAGGTAGGCTGCTAAAACTCCTGGCTATGATTGTTTAGGTGGGAAGAATGGCTGGTCAGTTTGCAAAGCCAAGATCAGAGCCATTTGAGGAGAAGGATGGTGTGAAGCTGCCAAGTTATAGAGGTGACAATATAAATGGTGATGACTTTGATGAGAAAGCTAGAGCTCCAGACCCCCATAGGATGATTAGGGCCTATTGCCAATCTGTTGCTACTTTGAACCTTCTGAGAGCATTTGCCACTGGAGGCTATGCTGCCATGCAGAGAGTCACCCAATGGAATCTAGACTTCACAGAGCATAGCGAGCAGGGGGACAGGTATATTTTGTCTCCCCAGGACAAATTGTTTTATTCTATCTGTCAGGCATTTGCTTTCTGTCTTGAATTATTTGACATATTTTCTACAAGGGCAGTAATTTCTCATTTTGAGCAATCTTGTGTTGATTGAATTGGTTTTTGCAGCTTCCACGGTAATAATCAAGGCCATGAGTTATTGTATCATTCTTATTGAAACAATTTTTGTTCCTGTAATAGCTAGCCTTTTCATTTTGAAGAAAAGGAGATCTTTAATGATATTGAAGAGGAAGCATTGCAAGTACATAGCCAGGCTTAGCCTTTTGATTGTTACCTTCCCTTGGGAGGAGAGATCCAAATTAAACCATCTCATACATACCAAAGAAAAATTGTTACAAGTCCACAACTTGTAATGGTGCAATTTTTTAACAGCAAGTGTACTGCAGGTCTGTATGACAACTTATGTTGTTATCAACTATTACCTAATAATATTAAATGACGTGTAATTGAAGGTATGTTTGAGAGATGAAATCAATAGCTGGCTAAGGTGGAAGGTTTAGTTCTTTTCACTTCAGGAAAACTTTAAACTGAGATTAGACCTTTTTCTCTACTAATTGATTTTTTTTTTTTGTCAATACCTTTGCTTAAAAAGGACAGTAAGTCCATAGCTTATAACTTAAATTTGGAGCGATTAGATTCCAGGGGACCAACAAGTGAGAAGTAGGTTAAATGTGACAGCAATATTTAGGGGACATCTATTCTTTATTAAGTCAGTGCTTTGGGTCCAATTCTTGAATTAATTGGCTTTATTGTTTGATTTTCTCTTGAGTGCTTTTTAGAATTTTGTAAAGGATGAATGAGTCAGAATGAGTTCTTTTCTTTAAACTTTTGAATCCTTTTCTCTCATTACATGTGGAGTTACCTGGTTCCTTTCTGGAGCAGGTGAAGCCTTTCTTTGATATTTGGAATTATTTCCTTATGTACTTTTCTATTTTTTCAATTTTGCTCCAATGGCACACCAAGTAAGTTCAACTTAGATTTGGAAAGTTCATTGTTAAGTATGTTGTTCCCATGTTTGAGCAGGTACCGAGAACTAGCTCACAGAGTTGATGAGGCCATGGGTTTCATGGCAGCTGCTGGACTCACAGCTACTCACCCTGTCATGACAACAACTGATTTCTGGACTTCTCATGAATGCTTACTCTTGCCTTATGAACAAGCACTTACCAGGGAGGATTCTACTTCTGGCCTTTACTACGACTGCTCTGCGCACATGCTTTGGGTCGGGGAACGCACCCGCCAGCTTGATGGTGCACATGTTGAGTTCCTAAGGGGAGTTGCTAATCCCCTTGGTATCAAGGTGAATTTACATTCTTGTTCTGTTAACAGAGACATAACAAATTCATATATATTCTTTCTCTGCAATGTTGCTTATTCATTTACTAAGTAGTTTCAATTCTTGCCTTTGAACTTACAACAGTGTTTCATGTCTTTTGTTTGGTAAAGAAATTTAAGGTGAATGATGATTTACTAAATATTTCTGGACAAGAGATTAGATGACTGAAAGATACCATTTTGTGATGCAGGTGAGTGATAAGATGGATCCAAATGAGCTAGTTAAGCTCATAGAGATTCTAAACCCTCACAACAAGCCAGGAAGAATAACAGTTATTGTAAGGATGGGAGCTGAGAATTTGAGAGTGAAACTTCCCCCTCTGATCAGGGCAGGCCGTAGAGCTGGTCAAATTGTCACTTGGGTTAGTGACCCCATGCATGGCAACACAACCAAAGCACCTTGTGGACTGAAAACCCGTTCCTTTGATGCAATTAGGGTACCTTTGCTCTCTCTTTGCACTTCATTTAAAGCAGTTTCTGAAAAATTTTATACTAACAAAGGGATATCTTTCTTGAAGGAATCCATTTATTTATTATTGTGACATCCGAAGAAACTGAATAATGAATAATATAGTATTGGTGGTTGCTTGTATTATAGAGATATACATTGCTTAGGCATAGAACTTTGTTACCTTTATTACCCTCTTTTATTAATAACAGTATCACTTAACACATTGGTAGGCTGAGGTGAGGGCATTTTTTGACGTGCACGATCAAGAAGGAAGCTACCCTGGAGGAGTTCATCTGGAGATGACCGGGCAAAATGTAACTGAGTGTCTTGGAGGCTCACGAACTATAACCTATAATGATCTGAGCTCACGATATCACACCCATTGTGACCCGAGGCTTAACGCTTCTCAATCTCTAGAGCTTGCCTTCATTATTGCAGAGCGGCTGAGAAAGAGAAGGCTCAAGTTGCATTACTCTCCAATATCTACCAAGCTCTAGAAGGATTCGGTGGCCCTGAATGGTATGCTTAGGGATAACTATTCCAAGTAGTTCGACGGCTACTCTTTCCTATAGGATGGTTAAAAGCATTTTGAACCTCTATAAAACCCAGACTTCAGAAGGATGTCTTGGAATGGGTATGGAACCTATAATGGTATTTATACATGTAAAAATGTCATAAATGGTTGTTTATATGTTTGAAGAAGATGCACATTTTATGTTGCACTTGGAAGTTTGAATATATATGAAGAACTTTGGTGGGAAGGAAACGCATACAGTAATGTCGTATGTGTATAAAGATCCTTGATTGAATCTGTTTAGGGGTAGTTTTAGTAGTAAAGATGGATGACATGGGCTTAAGTTCGTATGTTGCTACTTGGGTGGTAATAATTATGGTAGGCCACCCTTGAAAGTGATGTTTTGCTCGGTGCCTGCACATTGCAAGTAATCTCACCCCAAATGTCCAAATACTTCATGCCTATACCAAGAAACAAAATGAATCCATTCTGCAGAAAGTATCTAAAATGCCGTACCAAAGATGTTGCAAACGCACGCTTGCATTATAGATATTGAAATGTAGTGACAAAAAAAAGTGGTCCTAAACTGACAAAAAGTAAAACCACGATGGATTCCCTGGCTTATGGTTAATTAAAAAATATATTTAAGCTGCTTTTCTCTATAATAAAGCTAAAGAATATATCAATGAACTTTGATTCTTTCTTCTCTTCTGTCAATCAATATTAACAACAAAATTACTTTCTTATTCAAAATTTATTTAATATAATCGTTGAAAATTAAAGATCAATAATTTTATTTATTTTAACAAACAAAAACATTTAAATTATTAATAGTAATTATTATTTACTGCCAAATAAAACAAAACTATTACTATTCTTTTCCTACTATTATAGCGAATGACCTTTTTAATTAAATTCTATTGTTAAAACATAATCTTATCCTCAATACCATTAAGAAAAAACAAAATAAGTACAATTTTATCTCATAATAAACTCACACCATATTTTATCACAATTTTTTCAGTCATATCATATTTTCCTTTTTATAAGAGCAGAATTTACACGTCATCATGCCACGACAACTAACCAAACAAGCTCCCACATCCACGCATCTCCACACATTCATTCATGTCCAAGTATCAACACGTCCTGCCACGTGTAACTTTGCCCCGTCGATTTTCGCCGGGTGTTCCCTCAGACAAGGGTCTTGCATGCTGATGTTGGCGGGTCCCACATGGCCGGAAGAAGGTATTTGCGGCCGTTGAGCCCGTTTGCATTGTAGCTTGCTCCGGTGGTCTTGTCCACCAAGAGCTGACCCGGATATCCTGGGTACGAGCCCGACCCGAATATCCCCGTGCAAGCTGACACAGCCTCCAGCGGCGCGTTGGCGGGTCCCTGGAAATACCCGTTATTAAAGGGATTGGTGACGGTGCCCGCCAGTAAAGTCGCCAGATTAATAATCATTCCGTCCATCCCAACATCGCCGTTAGGGGCGACTAACGGCGGAGTCTGGGGACCGTAGATGGGCTGGTGAAAGGGCCACGCGCATTGACCCGGGCACTGAGTCTCCGAGTTACCGACCCACAAGAAAACCCCGCGGGCCGACCCACGCATACCCTTAGTCGACCCATGGGTGCCGCACCTCATGCAAAACCCTTCAACGGCGACGTCCTTCGCCGTCAAGATAACGTTGATGGTATTGACACCGTTCACCTTGCTAGCCAACGCCAGCAAATGAGGATTCTTGAGGGTTTTCCCAAGTGGGTAATTCTCAAACAGGACCTGTTTCCCAACGGCAAGAGTAGAGGCGCCGCCCTTGTACTTCTCGGTGGTTTTCCACCACGATGAAGCAGAGGGAGCTGTCTCACTGGTAGAGCTCAAGGAGTTGATGAAATCAACGATTACAGAGCGCTGGGCTGGAGTGAACTTGCCGTACCAGATGAGATTAACAGAGAAATTCCCCTTAAGGAGAACTCCGTTGTGGTACTTGAGCACGAGGGGCTGCTCTTGAACCAGAGCAGAGAAACAGGGGTGGATAAAACAGAGGAGGAAGAAAGTGGCAAACCCGTAAATAAATGCCATGAGGAAGGACAAAGGTTGAAGAGGCGCTTCCTTAAGAAGATTTTAATTTTAGTTCTGGAAAAAATGGTCAGAAGTAAGGATGTATTTATAGTGGAGTGTTTAGCGGAGGGGAACAGCTATACAGGGAAAAAGGTGTCCAAGTGGATGGTGATTTGGCGTCAAGTTTGAATGGGCGTGTTGGCCAGGCTGTAAGGTTCTGAAGCGTGAGGTGGCTGTATACATAAAAGAGGAAATGGATGTAGGAGTTTGTGCAAGCTGCTGACGGCGACCGTGGATGTTTCCGGGGTGTTTGGATTCTTTTCTCTCTCCTTTTTTTTTTTTTGCTCATTTTTTATTTTTAGATTTTTTTTTTAATTTCTACTGTAATTTTTAGAACACAAGATATCATGACCTTAAAGAAAACACAAAAAAATCCTAATTTTTTGATTTAGTTTTTAATTTATTTCAAAATTTTTACATAGCAAAAATAACCATTTATATTTTAGATTGCATATAGGCATTTAGCCTAACTTATAAATTTTTTTTTTTTTACAAAATCTAAAATAATAACAATAGTTAAAGTCAAAATTATACTTGCTTAACTTTGACCTACTAATTTTTTTAAAGGTCGGTGTTGGAGTAGTTTTTACCTTATTTAAAAAAAACAATAAAATACAACTTTACACTTTCTACATATGGATAAAATTATATTCAATATTTGTTAATTAAAATGTTTATATAATTTTATTAAAAAATTTTAATATTTAAAATATTAAAATATCTTAATATTCACTTTTCTTATTATTTTATATGATTTCTTCTCTTAATTTAATGCCTTCACAAAATTAACATGAGAAAAAGAGGAAAAACAAAACCTTCAAAAAGAAGGGATTGCCTTTGGGAACTAAGGGCTAAAATGCTCCTAACGGAAAATTTCCTTTTCTGTGGCAATAAAATAGCAACCCCAAACACGGTATTGGACTGGAGGATCTACTTTACAGTCCATTGACGTGACTGATGAGTGGAATTAATCAGGTGTGATAATTCATAAGAAACTTAAAATATGTCTGCAATCATCATTAGTTTTTTTTTTAATGGTTAA